GTACTTCTCTATTGTAAAAATAATATTTATTTATTTAGTTTATTTTTTAACTTTCTAACAATAAATTTAAAAATCTTTGATTTCTAAATTCTGTTAGTCTTAAGAAGGGGGGAATATAATTATTTATATATAAAACAATTGATTAAAGTTACATTGTATATTTTAAATGCAGGATTAAAATCTCAAAAATTAAAATAAAATTTTATCCCTCCTGTCATACCTCTTCTTTCTCCTTATTTATTTTTATAATTAAATTTTTATTGCAAATAGAAAAAATAAAATTACTACGAAGGGCTTATCAGCATTTACCTCCTTTTTAGCAAATTGCTCTAATCTTTAGTATTTGGAGCTTATTTTGACGTAAAAATATTTAATTTATTTGTATATTAATTGAAAAATTGGAGAAGCAAATATTAATTTATAATTATTTATTTGTCACTCATTCTTTTTTATTTTTAATTTATTCTCTTTGTTTAAACTTATATTTAAATTTCCAATTCCTTATTTGATTATAATGAACAAGTATAACAAGCATATTTATTGAAATTTTCAACTCTATAAATTTACTTATGAAAAAAAATATAAAATTAAACTTAAAAATATTATCTTTAAGCTATAATTTACTTGGTAAGGTGGGTTGGTTTGATTTTGGCACTGCTTTAGCTAAGTGTAAGAAGCTCTCAAATTTAACACTAAATTTAATGTAAAATTATTTTTTACTTTTTTTAAGAAAGAAGCTACTTAAATAAAAAATAATAAAAAAATTTAAATCTTTTTAGAAACATTTCTTTTTTAAATATTTTTAAATATTTTTATAAATTTAATAATAAGATTTTAAATTTTATATTATTAAACTTTTAACTTTATTAATTTTTTTAATTTTACGAAAATCTTTTTAGGTTTACATAAACGTTAGATGGAGATATTTTTGGATTAGTCTCTGGTTTAAAAAATGGATCTAATATATCTAATATAACTTTTAAGAAACTGTAAAAACAGTTTATTTACTTTTTTATATTATTTATTTATTACCTTATATTTTAAATTTTTAATATTTTATTATAATATTTATTGATTTTGTTAGCTTATTTATTTTTAATTGTTTTAATTTGGAATAAATTATTTTTCTTTCTTTATTTATTTATTTTAAATAAATAAATTATAAAAGCATTTATGAAACTGAAACTAGAAGATAAATGTTAATAAATGAAATTACTAAATTAGATAAGTTAGTGGTCTATTCTATTTGACATTTTATAAATTAAAGATATTACTAAAATTTTCTTTAATTTATATTTTAAAATGGAGGAAAATACAAAATAAAGTTATTATTTTTTTGCATATTTATAGTGATAAATTAATTTGTTTGCACTTATACTTGTTGTTTGTTATATATATTTAAACTGAATTTATACATTAAATTTGATTTATTTTAAATAAAAATATAAATCTTTTTATTTTTAAATGATTGTTTCAGTTTAAAATAATCTATCTACTAACTTATCATAAACAAACATAAACATATTTTTCGATATATAATAATTATATTTTATGAATCCTTACAAAAATATATTGTATTAAATTAACAATAATATACTAAACTATAAAATTAGCATAAAATAAATAAATAAAATAAAAAATCATTGAAACTAAAATAAAAAGCACTATTTAATTTCATCTTAAGGTTTTCAATCACGGTATCTAATTTTTCATAATAATAAATAAAATTTAGGGATTGCAATTTATAGCTCCTCAAATTCCTTAAATTGAATGAAGATAATATCTCAGATTAAAAGCTTTGATCATTTTTGGTGAAAACTGAGGACTTGTTTTAGAGAAGTTCATTCATTCATTTATTAAGTAAATTTAATTTAAAAATTTTCGTTATTAAATAAATAATTTATTAAGTTACCAAAATAAATATGATATTCATTCATAAATAAAAAAATAATAATAAATTTATTTTTTTTTAGGTTAAGTTATCTTATTACAAAATATTATATAACAAAACATATTATTTTCTATTATTCAAGTATATAATATTTATTCATCCATTTTTCACCACTTGTCTATCATCAGTAACATATACTTAAATCAACTAATCTTTTTGATTTTAGATACTTGCTTTTTACTTTCAATTTTTATGATTAATTGATTAAATTTCCACTTTTATATTATTTTAAATTAAAATAAAATATTTTTAAAAATTAAGTTAAATAAAATTTTTTAATTAAAAATTATTTTTAAATTAAGAAGAAGTAAAAAAAATATTTGCAAAATAATAAAGAAAAAGAAAAAAAATAAAAGCTGATAAGAAAATTAAAAGAACTTTATTTTTTTAAATTCATTCTTATTAGTAAAAATATCTCAATCTAAAACAAAAAAACTGCTTTTACTGTAGGAAAAGTGTCAAATTTGAGAGATTAGTGCAATTTACTAAAGCAGAACCTAAGCCTTATCCACCGATAGCACCAATTTTATTGAAACTTTTTAAATATTGAAGAGATTATAAATTATTAATTAGTTATTTAGACTAAAAAAATGAAGAAAAAAATAATCAAATAAAAAGCTAATAAACAAATTAAAAGAATTTTATTGTTTTAAATTCTTTTTTATAAGTAAAAGTATCACAATACAAAACAAACAAACCGTTTTTACTCAAGATTAAGCATCAAATTTTAGAGATTAGTGCAATGTGCTAAGGCAGAACCTAAATCTTATACACTTTGATCACCAATTTAATTATAACTTTTTAAATATCGAAGAAATAATAAATAATAATTAATTAGTTATTTAGACAGAAAAAATGAAGAAAAAATAATCAAATAAATGGCTTATAAACCAATAATAATAACTTTCTTGTTTTAAATTCTTTTAATAAGTAAAAGTATCACAATCCAAAATAAAAAACTGATTTTACGTAAGATTAAGTGTCAGATTTGAGAGATTAGTGCAATTTGCTAAAGCAGAACCTAATCCTGATACACTTTAATCACCAATTTTACTTTTTATATATTTAAGATAAATAAATAATTAATTAGTTATATAGAAGGAAAAAATGAAGAAAAAATAATCAAATAAGAAGCTAATAAACAAATTAAAAGAACTATAATGTTTTAAATTATTTTTTATAAGTAAAAGTATCACAATCCCACAGTTCAAAAAAAAAAACTATTTTTACCCAAAATTAAGTATCAAATTTGAGAGATTAGTGCAATTTGCTAAAGCAAAACCTAAGCCTGATGCACCGATTTGAGTAATTTAGTTCTAACTTATTAAATATTGAAGAAAAAATATAAAATGAATTAGTTAGTTATTTAGAAGGAAAAAATGAAGAAATAATAAGAAATGAATTAGTAAATAATAAAAGCAAATGTTGAAAATAAAAAAATGAGTTAAATTGAGAGAAAAAACAGAAGTACAATAAAAAAGAAAAAGAAAAGTAAATCAATAAAAAAGCTTAAAATATTTTAAAAGAGCTTTGTTGTTTTAAATTCATTTTTATAAGTAAAAGTATCATTATCCAAAACAAATAAACTGAATTTACCTAAGATCAAGTTCCAAATTTGAGAGATTAGTGCAATTAGTTAAAGCTTAACCTAAACCTGATACACCTTAATCACCAATTTAATTGTTACTTTTTAAGTATTGAAGAAAATATATCATTAAAAATTTATTAAAAGGAAAAAATGAATAAAAAATATTAAATAATAAAAATGAATTAATAAATAATAAAAGAAAATGTTGACAAAAATTCAATAAAAAAGAAAAATTAATCAAATAAAATACTAATAAAGAAATTAAAAGAGCTTTTTTGTTTTAATTTCATTTTTATAAAATTTAAAGTATTTTAATCCAAAACAAAAAAACTGTTTTTACTAAAGATCAAGTTTCAAATTTGAGAGATTAGTGAAATTTGCTAAAGCAGAACCTAAACCTGATGCACCTTAGTCACCAATTTAATTGTTACTTTTTAAATATTAAAGAAAAAAATATTATTAAGTAGTTATTTATTAGGAAAAAACGAATAAATAATATGCAATAATGACAAATAAAATAATAATTAATAAAAGCGAATATTGAAAATAAAAAAATTATTTAAATTAAGAATGACAGAAAAAGAAGAAAAACAGAAGTATAATATAAAATGAAAAGAAAAGTAAATCAAATAAAAAGCTAATAAGCTTATAAACAAATTAAAAGAGCTTTATTTTTTTAAATTAAATTTTATAAGTAAAAGTTTCGTATTACAAAACAAATAAACTATTTTACCAAAGAATAAGTGTCAAATTTGAGATATTAGTACTTTTTAAAGCAGAGCCTAAACCTGATGCACCAATTGCATCAATTTTATTGTTACTTTTTAAATATTGAAGAAATAATATATTATTGAATTAGTTACTTAGAAGGAAAAAATGAAGAAATAATATGAAATAATAAGAAATGAATTTAATTAATAAATAAATAATAAAAGAAAATATTGAAAATAAAAAAATTAGTTAAATTAATAAAGATAAAAGAAAAAAACAATGAAAAGTAAATCAAATAAAAGAATAATAAAAAAATTAAAAGAACTTTGTTTTTTTAAGTTATTTTTTTAAAAGTAAAAGTATCTATATCTAAAAGAAATAAACTGTTTTTACCTAAGATCAAGTGTCAAATTTGAGAGATTGATGCAATTTGCTAAAGCAGAGCCTAAGTTGGATGCACCTTAACCATCAATTTAATTCTTACTTTTTAATTATTGAAAAAAATTTAATATATAATTATTAATTATTTAGAAGGAAAAAATATGAAATAATAAGAAATTAATGAATAAATAATAAAACAAATGTAGAAAGAAAAAAAATGAGTTAAATTAGGAAAGATCAAAGAAAAAAACAGAAGTACAATAAAAAAAAAAGAATATTTAATCAAATAAAAAGTTTTACAATAGTAAAAGTGCCAAATTTGAGAGATTAGTGCAATTTGCTAAAGCAGAACCTAAGCCTGATGCACCTTAACCGCCAATTTAATTAAAACTTTTTAAATATTGAAGACAAATATATAATTAATTAGTATTTTAGAAGGAAAAAATGAAATAAAAATATTAAATAAAAAGAAATGAATTAATTTATCAATAATTAAAAATACAAGAAAAAAAAACAAAAGTAGAATAAAAAGAAAGAAAAAAAAATCAAATAAAAAGCTAATAATATTGTTTTAAATTCATTTTAAAAAGTAAAAGTATCACAATCCAAAACAAATAAACTGCTTTTACCAAAGATAAAGTCTCAAATTTGAGATATTAGTTTTTGCTAAAGCAGAACCTAAGCCTGATGCACCTGAATCACTAATTTTATTCTAACTTTTTAAATATTGAAGAAAAAATAACTCATTTAGAAGGAAAAAATGAGGAAAATATATGAAATGATTAGTACATAATTAATGTAAATTTTGAAAATAAAAAAATGAGTTAAATTAAGAAAAATAAAAGAAAAAAAACAGAAAGAAGTACAATAAAAAAGCAAAGAAAAGTAAATCAAACTAAAAGCTAATAAGCAAATTAAAGGATTTTTATTATTTTAAATTCATTTTAATAAGTAAAAGTATCACAATCCAAAGGAAATAAGCTGTTTTTACTTAAGATCAAGTATCAATTTTTAGAGATTAGTGCAATTTGCTAAAGCAGAACCTAAGCATTATAAATCCATTGTACCAATTTAATTGTTACTTTTTAAATATTGAAGAGAAATTATATATTAAATTCGTTTTTTAGAAGGAAAAAATGAAGAAAAAATATGAAATAATTAGAAATTAATTAGTAAATAAATAATAAAAGCAAATATTGAGAACAAAAAAATTGGTTAAATTCAGAAAGATAAAAGAAAAAAGATTGAAGTACAATAAAAAAGAAAAAGAAAGGTAAGTCAAATAAAAAGCTAATAAATAAATTATAATGACCTTTATTAATTTAAATTCAATTTTATAAATAAAAATATCATTTCCTAAAAAAATAAACTGTTTTTATCAAGTCAATTTTTTAGTATCAAATAAAAAAATCGATAATGAATTAAAAAATTTAAAGTGGAAATTAAGTTAAAATAACTAAAAAAGCATTTATATATATTAATATATGAATTTAAATGATAATTTCTATTAGAAAAATAATAAACTAAAAGTTAAAATATAGAAAATATTAATAATATTTGTAAAATAAATATACCACAGACCAATAAAGAGAATCTTATGAGATTAAAGTGAAGAGTTCAAAAACTTTGTATATTAATTAAAATAAATTAAAAGTATATTTATAAAAAATAGAAATAATTACTTCATCTAATTTGTTGTATTCTTTAATCTATTATATCATTTTTTTTTTTTTTAAATATTGAATTGCAATTTATGGAAATTTAATTAATTATAAGAGGGAAAAAAGAAATAATATATTATATGCATTTAATAATTTGATAAAAAAGATTTTTTATAAATTCGATACCTCTAAATTCTATAATTTTAATATAGAGCCCCACGTTAAAGGGTTAAATATTAAAAAGTGAAGTAGATTTAATTTTGACAAATTTAAATGGGGTAGAAAATATAATATATATTAATATAAACATTACTAGGTAGTTTCATTATAAAAATAGAGAAAAAATCCAAAAAATAGGTTTTTTTTGAAAATATTTTATTGTTGCTTTTACGAAAGAAAATAAATGATAAATAAATTGTAAAAGATATTAGTTAGCATATTGATAAATAAAGTTAAGACTTTTTCCTTAAGACTCAATTAATTAATATTGATAGATAGATATTTTGTATGAAAATAGATGTGCTTTTCCATTAATTATTATTCATTGATTCATTCACTTCCTTTTTAAATTTTAGCCTGAAATTATGTTCAACGAATGTAATCAAAAAAAAAAAATAAAGGGCAGAAAGAAACTAATCAAATTACACAAATTTTTAGCTAATAAGTTTCTACTAAATCTATGATATATATATCTATACTATGAACCATAATACATACAGCAGGATAAAGCAAATAGTAATTAGCTCAACGAGGTATAAATAATAATCTTTTAATTTCTTTGAATAAATCAGTATTTTTTATAATTATATGCTCATTTTTTTATTTCTATAAATATTTTAAATGAATTAGCCAATTTAAATAATAAAAATAATTAAATTTTTATTTATTTTACACTTACCAATAAAATAAAATAATTTTATTTTATTATCAAAAATGATTCTTTGTTTTTAAGATAAAAATAATAATTATTTATTTATTTTAAAATAATATAAGTTTTAATATAGTTGTTATTCAACATAATACTTTATTAAATTTTTTTATAAAAAATTAATATTATTTTAATTAATTTGCCTTTCAATATTAAACAATATAATTTTAGAGATGCTGTTATATTTAAAAACTAATTAAAAACTTCATCTTGATAAGATTTTTTTTATCAGCTTAATTTATCAAATTTTTTTGAATTAATCTCTATAAATAGTGACACTAAAAATATCTTTTGCATATATAATTTTCACATCAAAACAAAAACAATTGTTTTTAGTAAAAAAGCAAACTTCATAGCCTACTCTTAAAAAGTTAATAACCTAGCCAAGCCTCACCTCAATGGGATAGAATTAATAAAAATCCATAAAGCTTGAAGCATTTAAAAAATAATTAGTAAAAGAAATATCAGAAAAGATCCCCAAGGAATGTCAGATACAAAAGCATGGTTTGAAAGAAATAATCAAATTAATCCTCAACCAGAAAAAATATTTACAAAATTTCGAGTACTTAAGCAGCGGTGCTTACGCCCTCGTCTTGAAGGCTAAAAATATTAATAAAAATCGTATGGTTGCCCTTAAATTTCTAACATGTACAAGCAAAGAGGGTTTGAAAGGCATCGAATCTTTGAAAAAAGAATATGAATTGCTTCAGAAATTTAGCTAATCTGATTTTTTGGTAAATGTCTATGATTGCTTCTATCTAATGGAACAAGATGTAGAAGAGGATAAAGATGGTAATGAAAAGATCATCGTAACAGAAGAGAAGTCCTTTTTTGTGATGGAAATGGAGCTTTGCGAACGTATTCAAATTATTAGTTTTCCTCCATATTTTTTTACTCCCCCAATCTTTTAAAAAATCTGAAAAAGCCAATAAAATATGATGCTATTTTATTTTTTATATCATTTATAATAATTGAAGTTTCTCCAGTTTAAAAAAGTCAAATTCTTATTTTTTCTAAGTCTTTTTGGATTTCATTAATTTTGAAGTAGAAATAGATTTGTGTTAAGCTAATTTAATTAATTTTGTAACTATAATAGAAATTATTTATTTTATAAAGTTTTTTCATTTTTAATTTTTTAATTTCCCCCCAAAAATAAATAAGTCATCTTTAATTTAATTTTTATTGAATTTTAGAAAGTTTCTTAATTAAATGTTCTAGAAGATTAATTAATCGAAATTTTATAATCTATTAACCTAATATCATTATTATAAATTTAGTTTTATAAAGCATTTTTTAATAATTAACAAAATTTATGAATAAACTTTTATATAATTTAAATTAATCAAAATATTTCATCGATACATTTTTTAAAAAATAATTTTTATTTTTGTCAATAAATTTTATTATTGATTTATTTATTTAATAAAATAATTAAAAATTAAATAATTTTAATTTGTTATTTTTTTAATTTAAATTAATATTCTAAAATAAATTAAATAATATTTTAATGGCTAATTAGATTTAATTAATCAAAATTCTATTTTTAATTAAATTATATTTTAAAATAAATTAAATTAAACAGTAAATAAATCAATAAAATTAGTTTAAATTATCTAATTTAATTGATTATTAATTTTAATTTATAAACATTTTTACATTAAAATGCATAAAGAGAGAAATTTTAAAATTATTTTTCTTTAATTTCATAAATATTAAAAATATTTGTTTGTATTTTGAAAAAAGAAAATCTGAAACAGCTTTTCGATTATTTAAGAAAGACATAACTACCCTCTTAAGAAATAAAGGAAGTAATAGCTATTCAAATGTTAGAAGGATTAAATACCCTTCATATCAAAAATATCATGCACAGAGACATCAAACCTCACAATTTCTTAGTTTGTCCTTCTCAAACTTATGGATTTACCATAAAAATCTGTAAAAAAATTTAATTTTTACAATATTTACAATTAAAAAAATATTGATAATCAAGGTGATTTGGGATTTGCATCTGCAGTAACAAAATCGAAAAGTTATTACCTATCAAAGGTAAATATTCAAATATTATTTAAAATTAATCTTAAATTGTTTTAATCTATAGAACGGAACTGATACTTACTTTGCTCCAGAGGTAGAAAAAGGATAATCTAGAATTTAGGTTTTTAATTAAAACTAATCTTTAAAATTTTAATTAACTTTTAATGTTTAAAGTCTGACCTCTTTTCTCTAGGACTAGTTTTACTTGAGTTAGATAATCTGAATGTGCTTAATGAAAATTGGATTGACTTTGATATAAAAGAAGAGATTTATTAAGGAAGTGGAATAGCTTCGAAATATTAGATTGATAGAAATTCTAATATTTATAAAATAGCCGAGATTTGCTTAAAACCAAATTATTTAGAAAGGACAACTTCAGGAGACCTACTTTCTGAGCTTATTAAGCTTCATGGAAAACCACTAAAATTCACACTATCATCTATGATATTAGAAGTAATAAATGAATTTACTAATTTTTTTATGGCTAATCTAATTAACTAACAGTTTCATTTAAATAAAATTTTTAATTTAATTTTAAATTTTGTTTCTTGATAATAAAAGTTAATTTAATAAAGTATTTGATCTGAATTTTTTATTTCTTCAATTTGAAAATTTGATCATTGTTAGTAACTATCCTACACTAATTCTAAATTCAAAAACTCATATCATGTATCTCTCCCTTTTTTTCCTTGAAAATTTATGAAAATACTTTTTGCTTTTATTCTTGAAATTTCATATACAGTAATTTTACATAATAAAATTTAAAAATGTTTCATGGAATAACACTGATAATGATATTAATTTTGATAAATTTATATTTAAATATAAACAAATTCTATATTTTAAAAGGAATCTTATTGATTTCTATAAAATCAAATATTGATTCTATCTATCCAAATTTCTTATTTTTGTTAAGTTAAAAAATATTTAGTAAGATTATTTAAAGTTTTTTTTGAACTTACATTAAAAAAATTAAATTACTTGTAATAGACGACAAACATTAATTATTATTTTTTATTGATAGGAACAAATTCCGTAGTAAGCATAATAAATATTCAATAGAATTAATGAGCTTCAAAAAAATAAAGTAAAAATATAATAATATTTATAATTTAGTTAATATATTCAAATTTTTTAATTCAATTAAGCTAAAAATATTTAGTAAGATTATTTAAAATTTTTTTTGCAATTACTAAAAAAAATAAATTACTTGTGTTTGCGACAAATATTAATAATTATTTTTTCATTGATAGGAAAAAATTCCATAGTAAGCATAATAAATGTTCAATAGAATTAATGAGCTTCAAAAAAATAAAGTAAAAATATAATAATATTTATATTTTACATTCCAAATTATTAATTTTATGATATAAACAATCTTTTTTCTAAGCAAACTTAATTTGAGAAGGATGCACAAATCTTACTTGATAATACAGATTCAAGGATAAAGAGGAAAGATGCTAGTAAACAATTTACAAAAGTAGAAATACTATCCAAGCTATTAAAAAGTCTATATGAAGATAAAAAATATGTAAATAATTTCCAAATTCTTAATTTTGGAAACTTTGGTATGGTTTTATCTACTAAAAAAGTTGAGTTCAACAACAAAGAAATAGTATTAAAAATACAAAAGATTGTTGATGAACAATAAATTTAAAATGAAATTAGAATAATGTAATAATTAAAAGCACCTTTAGTTGTCTAGCTATATGACAATTATATCATAGAAAAAGCTACAGCACCTGAAAAATATGTAGTTTTTGAATTAGAAAAGTGTTCATGTAAATTTTTAAAAAACAATTTATAAATTGGCAAATATTTTAATTTTTTATTCAATTAAATGTAAATTTTAAATATGCCACTTAAAGTATTTTAGTGATATATAAGGCTAAGATAGCTATTAATAAGCTATGTGTTTATTATTGAGGTTATAATATGCATAATAAGTTTATCATATCATTTATTCTAAAAAAGGTTCACTTTAGGAGTATCTAGAAATATAAGGAAAAGAAGGAGAGTTTAGTGATGAAGAAAAATTGAATATTGCAATCCAAGTAATTGACTCTGTCAATTATATTCACTGCTTCAATATTATTCATAGAGATATTAAACCTGAAAATTTTTTGGTTTGTTTGGATGGCAATGAACTTGAAGTCAAACTATGTAATTAACCCTCATGTTTTTTATTTATTTTAAAAACAATTCAATTATTTTAATATAAGGCGATTTTGGATTATCAACTTAACTTGAAAAGAATTGTGAGTAGATTGAAATTTTAGATGTAAATAATTTAGTTAGTATATAATTATCAAGAAATTTAAATATATCTTAGATGGTAGGAAATTGGGCGTACATGGCACCTGAAATTTTAACTAAAAATAAAGATGATTAATATAAGATATATTCTAAAAAAGTAATTATTGTTATAACAATATCTTATAATAAAAATATATTTTTGTTTTAAGTCGGATTCTTATTCAGTTGGTTTACTATTATGTTTGCTTGACAATTACTTAAATTTGAAAGAAAATACAGGATCTACTTTCATGAATATGACTTTAAATTAATATGAAGAGCCTTTCAAGAAATAAAAAATTAATATTAAGCAAGACACTGAAATATTTAAATTTATTAAACTATTAGTTGTCTGGGAAAGAGTCAAAAGAGCTTCTCTTTCTATTATTGTTGAATAAAATTCAAAAAAATTCAAATCAAACTAAAATGATATGAAATAAATTATATCATAACATTATTTAGGTCCTATATAAAATGTTGAGGCCTTAAACATAGGATCAGTAGGACCATTAATTTCTTAAAATGAAATTCCAATTTAAAATATCAGTTAAATAAAGATAAATCATATGAAGGATTTGTATAAAATTACAAAATTTCAATTTGAAGTTGTCGAAATAGATTTAAAGTAATTATATTAAAATTAATTTAAATTGAAATTAAATATCCACAAATTATTATCTAAAAATTAAAATACAATTATGAAGGATGCATCCTTTCAAAAAACACTTAAAATATTTTTTACTAAAGATGAAATTATTATATATTAATACAATATACAATAAACAAATAAACTTTATTACGTACTTAATAATAAAATAAATAAGAAGGTAAGTAAAATTTACAAAAATATCACAAATGCAAAAAATTACAAATAAATAAAAATTGGGAAAAAATTTTAATAAATTTATTAAATGTTGCCCACTTATTAAAAATAAATAAATGTTGGTAAGAAAAACTTTTTTTTAGAAATGACATATCAAAATTACTTAATTGATGTGTATAATTCATTTACTAACTTGCTTATTTATTTATTTACTTATTTTCTAACCAAATAAAATATAATTAATCCCTTTATTTACTCATCACAAAACAATTAAAATACTAACAAAAGCGATATATTTTTACCATCATTTCTCTTTCATATTTTTTTAATTCCTTATTTATTCTTATATTTTAAGATTTAATAATTTTGGTTCAGTGAGTGCAAAAGATTTAGGCAAAGGAATAGCATAGTGCAAGAATATCACAACTTTGACGCTAAATATAAGGTAAAAATTTAATTTAGTGATTGATAAACTAATAATTGATTATTATAAGCTTTTGACTTAGTTATAAGTTAATTAAGCTAGATTGTCATTTAATAACTTGCTTTCATATTTATTTATCTACTTAATAACCAAACAAAATATAACGAATTTCTTTACTTACTTATGACAAAAAAACTAAAATAATAACGAAAGCCATAGTTTTTTACCATCCTTTCTCCTCCATATTTATTTAATTCGTTATTTATATTTATATTTCAAGTTAAAATAATATTGGTGCAGAGGGTGCAAAAGATTTAGGCATAGGAATAGCCTAGTGCAAGAATATCACAACTTTGACGATAGATTTAAAGTAAAAATTTAATTTATTGATTGATTGATAAACTAATACTTGGTTATTTTAAGCTTTTGATTTAGTTATAGTAAATTAAGTCAGCTTTTCATTTACTAACTTGCCTTCTTATTGATTTACTTACTAGTCAAATAAAATATAACTAATTTCTTTACTTATTCATCACATCACAACTAAAATACTAAAGAAAGCCATAGTTTTTTACCATCCTTTCTCCTCCATATTTATTTAATTCTTTATTTATTCTTATATTTCAAGTGGGAATAAAATTTATGCAGAGGGTGCATAATATTTAGGAACAGGAATAGCCCAGTGCAAGAATATCACAACTTTGATGCTTTACTTAAGGTAAAAAGTTAATTTGTTGATTGATTGATAACTTATAATTGGTTATTTTAAGCTTTTGACTTAGTTATAAGCTAATTAAGTCATCTTTTCATTTACTAACTTGCCTTCTTATTAATTTACTAACTAGTCAAATAAAATATAACGAATTTCTTTACTTATTCATCACAGCACAACTAAAATACTAAATAAAGCCATAGTTTTTTACCATCCTTTCTCCTCCGTATTTATTTAATTCTTATTTATATTTATATTTCAAGAACAAATTATATTGGTGATGAAGGTGCAAAAATTTTAGGCACAGGAATAGCCTAGTGCAAGAATATCACAACTTTATTACTTTACTTAAGGTAAAAATTTAATTTATTGACAGATTAACTAATAATTGGTTATTTTAAGCTTGTGACTTAGTTATTAGATAATTAAACCAGCTTTTCATTTACTAACTTGCCTTCTTAATGATTTACTTATTAGTCAAAAAAAATATAACATATTTATTTACTTATTCATCACAGAATAACTAAAATACTAATTAAAGCCTTAGTTTTTTACCATCCTTTCTCCTCCATTTTATTTAATTCGTTATTTATATTTCAAGTGAAAATAAAATTGGTGTTGAAGGTGCAAAATATTTAGGCACAGAAATAACCCAGTGCAAGAATATCACAACTTTGATGCTAGATTTAAAGTAAAAATTTAATTTATTGATTGAAAAACTAATAATTGGTTATTTTAAGCTTTTGACTTAGTTATTAGCTAATTAAGCCAGTTTTTCATTTACTAACTTGCCTTCTTATTGATTTACTTACTATTCAAATAAAAATTAACAAATTTCTTTACTTATTCATCACTTCAAAATTAAAATACTAATGAAAGCCATAGTTTTTTACCATCTTTTCTCCTCCATATTTATTTAATTCTTTTTTTTTAAGTGGGAATACAATTTGTGCAGAGGGTGCAAAAGATTTAGGCAAAGCAATAGCCTAGTGCATCAATATCACAACTTTGACGCTTTACTTATAGTAAAAATTTAATTGATTGATTGATTGATTGACTAATAATTGGTTATTTTAAACTTTTGACTTAGTTATTTGCTAATTAAGCCAGCTTTTCATTTACTAACTTGCCTTCTAATTGATTTACTTACTAGTTAAATAAAAAAAAGAGAATTTCTTTACTTATTCATCACAGCACAACTAAAATATTAACAAAAGCCATAATTTTTTACCATCCTTTCTCTTCCATATTTATTTAATTCTTTATTTATTTTTATATTTCAAGTGAAAATAAAATTGGTGCAAAGGGTGCAAAATATTTAGGCAAAGGAATAGCCCAGTGCAAGAATATCACAACTTTGACGCTTTACTTAAGGTAAAAATTTAATTTATGGATTGATAAACTAATAATTGGTTATTTTAAGTTTTTGACTTAGTTATTAGCTAATTAAGCCAACTTTTCATTTACTAACTTGCCTTCTTATTGATTTACTTACTAGTCAAAGAAAATATAACGAATTTCTTTACTTATTCATCACATCACAACTAAAATACTAACGAAAGTCATAGTTTTTTACCATCCTTTCTCCTCCATATATATTTAATTCGTTATTTATATTTATATATCAAGTTGGAATAAAATTGGTGCTGAGGGTGCAAAAGATTTAGGCAAAGGAATAGCCTAGTGCAAGAATATCACAACTTTGACGCTAGATTTAAAGTAAAAATTTAATTTATTGATTGAAAAACTAATAATTTGTTATTTTAAGCTTTTGACTTAGTTATTAGCTAATTAAGCCAGCTTTTCATTTACTAACTTGCCTTCTTATTGATTTACTTACTAGTCAAATAAAATATAACGAATTTCTTTACTTATTCATCACTTCAAAACTAAAATACTAATGAAAGACATAGTTTTTTACAATAATTTATCCTCCATATTTATTTAATTCTTTATTTATATTTATATTTCAAGTGAAAATAAAATTGGTGCAGAGGGTGCAAAAGATTTAGGCACAGGAATAGCCTAGTGCAAGAATATCACAACTTTGATGCTTGATTTAAAGTAAAAATTTAATTTATTGATTGATAAACTTATAATTGGTTATTTTAAGCTTTTGACTTAGTTATGAGCTACTTAATAACTAAATAAAATATAACGAATTTCTTTACTTTTTACCATACTCTAAATGTGTATTGTGCATATACAGTGGTTATTACAATTGGCACCATTAAATTTTAAATTCCTTATCATCCCACTGTGTATATAAAATTACCTAAATATCTAAAATTTCAGCGTATTTATAGCCTTGAAAAAGGAAGTACCTTAGGGTACTATGAATATATAAATGAAATTATGTTTTAGTGATACAGCATATTTATTTATGTTAAAATTATTGAATATTGTAACTTCTATTATCATTTTAAAAAATTAATTAAAAAAAATAATAGAAACCATTTTACATTTTAAATTTAAATGAAAAAATTATAATTTTATATATTTTTCATGAAACACACACTGTGTGCGCTCACTCCAAAAATGCTTACTTAAATATGCAAAAATTGTTGATGACATTCTGTTCACTTAAAGCATAATTATCCTTTTTATCATTATTAAAAATTCTTTGTTATAATCTTAGAGCTATTAAATAATTATTTCTTTATTTAAAAATTAATTTTTGATTGATTTAAAATTTTATTGGTTGAAATTATAACTATTAATTTTAAAGTTTACAAGATAAAAATGCGGAAATTTAATTGGGGAATTCATTAAAAAAATAATTATAAGCTAAGGTAAAATATAATTAGTTAAATTCATAAAAAATTGATTTATTTAAACTAATAACATAGATATATATCTATTGACAATCAGTAATCAGTGAAAAGTTAAATATAACAAACCTGAGCTTTAATAATTTATTTATTAAAAATTTAAACTCTACATTAATATGTTTCATAAAAATATTTATTTTTTAATTTTATTTTTTATAAATGTATTGATTAATTAGATCATGATTATTACTTATAGTTTGATTGATACCCTAATAATTTTGTTAAATCCTAATCTGAAACATTTGAAAAAATTTATAAATAAAAATATGAGGATGTGATTAATAAATTAGAAATATTAATATAAATCCCTTAAAACATCACTTTAAATATACCAAATAATAGTTAATATTATTTTAAACATTTAAGGCAATTTAATTATTTATGGGTTATAATTACTTATCTCTCACAAATTAATTTAATAACTTTTATTTCCAGAAAACTATTACAAAATTTATATGATAATAATATTTAATTTTATCTAATCTTTATATAAATCACTATAAAATGCGTGGTTGATATAATTTTAATGATCATTATTAATTTCAGAATAATTATCTAAGTGTTAATTATAAACTTATTCTTAAAATTCTTTCATTTAACATTGATTAATATAAGATAACAGGGTAAAAGAATTACTGATTTTGGATTAAAAATTACCCATTTTTTATTTCTGAATTTTTATTTTGTTGTGTTTTTTAAATAATAAAGAATTATTATAATAGTTAACAAATGATAAAAGTGAAATAAAATGAATAGAATTATATGAAAAATATGGCATATCATAAATGACTATATTAAGAATTATTTAAAAAATTTTATTGAAAAAATAACGCCTAAACATCATATATAGCTGTTATAGCATTTGAAATATCACAAAGTATGATATCATGCATGATTTCTGATATTTAAAATAATTTTTATAATTATAATGAATATTCTTTTCTTCTAAATCTTAATTAATTATATTCTAAATATTTGATTTCGAAATTTTTACAAAAATTAATCAAAACACATAAACCTTTTTTCAACTAATTTAGAATAAAGTATTTATTTAAATTTTAAATATATTTTTTTTTAATTTTATATTTTATTATTGAATTTATTTATAATAGAATTATTGATTTTTTTAAATTTGAATTTCTTAGAAAGTATATTTTATACTGGTTTAATTTTATTTTTAAAAATAAGCCAATAAAAAAATGTAATCCATTTATAATTGCTTTATTTAGAAAATAAAAAAGTATTAATAAAAATTAATGTTCAATATGATTAAGATTTAAAAACTTTTATATTTATTCATTAAATATCTATGAAGTATATCAAAATTAATTTGCATACTTTCTCAATTCTTCCAAGAATATAATAAAAAAAATATACAAATAAATGTAATGTGTTACAAAAATCTAATTATTCTTATTATTATTTGAAATGAATAATTAATTTTATGGTTTTTAGCTATAGAACTATTACTTTAGGACTTATTCAAGTTGCGAGTAATATATTTGCATAAAAAATATTGAGGTTTGAAGATATTCATTCAGTCATGAATAATTTAATGATAATATATATCAATATTAGAGCCGAAATACAAGTTATGATTAAGAAAACAATATTTATTTGTTAATTTCTTATAATTTAATTAAATTAAATATTAAAAAGTGAAGTTGATTTAATTATGACATATTTAAATGGGGTAGAAAATAAAATATTTATTAATATTAATTTTTAACATTATTAGGTAGTTTTTTATAAAAATAGTGAAAAAATCCAACAAATAGGTTTTTTGGAAAATATTTTATTGTTGCTTTTGTGAAAGAAAATAAATGATAAATAAATTGTAAAAGATGTTAGTATATTGATAAATAAGTTAAGACTTTTTCCTTAATACTCAATTAATTAATATAGATAGATAGATATTTTGTATGAAAATAAATATGCTTTTCCTTTAATTATTATTCATTGATTCATTCACTTACTTTTTAAATTTTAGCCTGAAATTATGTTCAAAGGATGTAATCAAAAAAAATAAAGAGCAGAAAGAAACTAATCAAAGTACGCAAATGTTTAGCTAATAAGTTTCTACTAAATCTATGATAAAAATATCTATACTATGAACCATAATACATACAGCAGAGTAAAGCAAATGTTAATTAGCTCTGTAAGGTATTAATAACAATCTTTTAATTTCTTTGAGGAATCAGTATTTTTTATAATTATATACTCATTTTTTTATTTCTATTAATATTTTAAATGAATTAGCCAATTTAAATAATTAAAATAATTTAATTTTTATTTATTTATTTTTTTACACTTACCTATAAGATAAAACAATTTTATTTTATTATCAAAAATGATTCTTTGTTTTTAAGATAAAAATAATAATTATTTATTTATTTTAAAATAAAGTAAGTTTTAATATAGTTTTTATTGAACATATTACTATATTGAATTTTTTTATAAAAATTAATATTATTTTAATTAACTTGCATTTCAATATTTAACAATATAATTTGAGAGATGCTATAATATTTGAAAACTAATTAAAAACTTCATCTTGATAAGATTTTTTTTATCAGCTTAATTTATCAAATTTTTTTGAATTAATCTCTATAAATAGTGATATTCAAAATATCTTTTGCATATATAATTTTCACATCAAAACAAAAACAACTGTTTTTAATAAAAAGCAAACTTCATAGCCTACTCTTAAAAAGTTAACAACCTAGCCAAGCCTCACCTCAATGGGATAGAATTAATAAAAATCCATAAAGATCGAAGCATTTAAAAAATAATTAGTAAAAGAAATATCAGAAAAGATCCCCAAGGAATGTCAGATACAAAAGCATGGTTTGAAAGAAATAATCAAATTGATCCTCAACCAGAAAAAATATTTACAAAATTTCGAGTACTTAAGCAGCGGTGCTTACGCCCTCGTCTTGAAGGCTAAAAACATTAAGAAAAATCGCATAGTTGCCCTTAAATTCCTAACATGTACGAGCAAAGAGGGTTTGAAAGGCATCGAATCTTTGAAAAAAGAATATGAATTGCTTCAGAAATTTAGCTAATCTGATTTTTTGGTAAATGTCTATGATTGCTTCTATCTAATGGATCAAGATGTAGAAGAGGATAAGGATGGTAAAGAAAAGATCATCATAACAGATGAGAAGTCCTTTTTTGTGATGGAAATGGAGCTTTGCGAACGTATTCAAAATATTAATTTTCCTCCATTTTTTTGATCTCCCCCAATTTTTTAAAAAATATGAAAAAGCCATTAAAATATGATGCTATTTTATTTTTTTACATCATTTATAATAATTGAACTTCCTCCATTTTAAATAAGTCAAATTCATATTTTTTCTAAGTCTTTTTGGATTTCATTAGTTTTGAAGTAGAAATAGATTTGCGTTAAGCTAGTTTAATTAATTTTGTAACTATAATAGAAATTATTTATTTTATTAAATTTTATCATTTTTAATTTCTTAATTTCCCCCCAAAAATAAATAATTCATCTTTAATTTACTTTTTATTGAATTTTAGAATGTTTCTTAATTAAATGTTCTAGAAGATTAAGTAATCGAAATTTTATAATCTATTAACCCAATAATATTATTATAAATTTAATTTTATAATGCATTTTTTAATAATTAACAAAATTTATGAATAAACTTTTATATAATTTAAATTAATCAAAATATTTCATCTTTAAATTTTTTAAATAATAATCTTTATTTTAGTCAATAAATTTTATTTTTGATTTATTTAATAAAATAATTAAAAATTAAATAATTATAATTTGTTATTTTTTTAATTTAAATTAATATTTTAAAATAAATTCAATTATATTTTAATGGCTAATTAGAATTAATTTATCAATATTCTATTTTTAATTAAATTATGTTTTAAAATAAATTCAATTTCTTAGTAAATTAGAATAAAAAATTAGTCCAAATTAAATATTTCAATTTAATCTAATAAATAAGAAATTCATTTATTTCTTTCTAATTTTAATTGATTTTAAATTTATTAATTTAATTTTAATTAAATTTAAATATTAATTGATAAAATTTTTAAAAATTATTTAATTTAATAAAAAATAATTCAATAAAACAGTAAATAAAATCAATAAAATTAGTTTAAATTATCAAATTTAATTGATTATTAATTTTAATTTACATTAAAATGAGTTTTCAATTTAAAAGAGAGCAAATTTTATAAACATTTTTCTTTCATTTTATAAATATTAAAAAATATTTGTTTGTATTTTGAAAAAAGAAAATCTGAAACAGCTTTTCGATTATTT